GACATGTATTGACCACTGTCATCACTTCTTAGCCTTTCTTATCAACTATATGTTGTAAAGTGATAATTATAATTCATAATGAGGATTCTAATTTTTTAGGTTTGTAAGGACAGAGCCAAAATGGAGTTTTTCTGGCCTGTTTGAGCTCATTCATTTCCCAGAACCCTTTGTAAATCACAAGACAGTAAGGTTAGCATCTTTGTCCTAAGAATTTTTCAGCTCCCACCCTGCCCTTCTCACATTGTCCTTCTCACAACACACCCATCTACCATCCCACCTTTGTCTCTGTGCTTCTGACCAACTCACCACCCATCTGGTTGTCAGAAATACGAGAAAAAGACCCTATCACCATGACTTCAGCTGCTGTGAATTCTTGAGGCTGAAAGCTGTTAAATCTTCCCTTTGTTAGGGGCAGGTCACTATAATGATGGGGTGGTGGTCTAGTTTAACTTTGTGTGCTCATGACTGACCCACCTATCCATCCAAAAATAGGAGAAACAAATCCCATCACCCCGATGTCAGCTGCTGTGAATGCTCAGCTGGCCCACTTCCTCCCCTAAAGAAGTTTTAAAAACCCCTAGTCTCCAGCATTCACCATCACTCTTTCTTTAAACCTCTGGTCCCCTCTCCAATCTTGGAGAGGTGATTCCATCTTCTCTCTTTTCTAATCTACTTTCTAAATAAACTTTATCTTCTAATCTAATTTCTGTGCAAATCTTTGCCATTCCCGCAGCACCAGCACACTGACCTAACAAGGATGAAAAAATTAAAGGAAGAGAGATGGTAATGTCCATTGTATGACAGAGCTAGAAGTTTGAAGAACACAATTTCACCTTATAGGGTGGAAACCAAATTAAAATGAAGAATATTCACAGTTTCCATTTCTGTAGATTATTTACATCTTTCATTTCCAGCTTCTTCCTAGCCTCAGGAAAGGATGGCATATAAAACCTGAAAATTATTTTTCAATAAGCAATATATAAATGTGACTTTGCTTCAGAAAATTTTGGTTTCTAAATTTTTGCAGCTATTTTAACTTTTTATATTATAGTTTAAATATTGCATACACTTCTAGAAAATTGTATATTTAGAATAAAAAGCAACAGTTTCCTTCTTCAGCTATGTTCCCCAGAGGCAACCATATTTAACAAGTTAATTTTAGGGATTCAGGTATTTATGTCCATATTTCTAATAATATGCTTATTTTTTTACTTTTTGAGATTTATCAATTTTAGATATTGTTTATTGACTCCTACTCTGCAAGATGAGAATTTAGATAACTTAGCCAACTCCACTTTATGTCTCCTCTTAATATGATTTTATGATTATTCGCAGTTCATCTCATCAATTTTGTAAATTTGTCTTAAATTTAAATCTTCATTTTTTTAATCAACTGTAGGAATAATCTCTTACCACCGCATTTTTAAAATATGAAGTTAGTTGCACCCTCATCTTTCTTTCCATTTCTTTTCCCAGTGCTTAATTCCCTAATAATGTGACATTATTTGTTCTTCTGTGAAATAGTTTGTCTTCTCCATTGTCACAGAGCAAATGAGACAACTGACAGATATTCTGTAATTAGTTTATGGGCTCATTCTACAGAGTAGACATGAGTGTTGACATATTATAAAAATGCTTATATGAGGTGATACCCAAAAAACCCCAGAATTTATTTATAAAATAATTGTGCATTTATTATTACATGTTTAAATTTCAGTCACCTTCAAAGCATTTTCTTTTTGATGCAATACACCTATCAAGACACTTTCCACTTTTCAAAACAGTTTTTGAACTTGTCCATTTTGATGCTGTTAGTGCTTCTGCCATTTTTTTGTTTCACCTCTTCCACATCGGCAAAATATTTCCCTTTGAAGAATTTTTCATTTGGCAAAAAAAATAAAACTCGCTCTGGTAGAGATCAGATGAATAGGGAAGGTGGGACGCAAGGGTCATGCGTCAAAAACTGAACGCTCAGGGCAGTGTGGACAGACACATTGTCGTGGTGAAAGAACCAGTCACCTCTCTGTCACAACTCGGGAAGTTTCTTCTTCAAATCGTGAGGTAACCTTCTCAGAACTTTCAGATAAAAACTTTGGTTGATCGTTTTATCTGGAGGAACAGATTCCAAGTATACTACAAGGGGCCCACCCTCTGAAAGATAACTCCGGTTTATTTTGGGTCCCCCCTAATATTGTTCCTTGGGATCTAAGTGGTGGGGTCAGACATATACCTTTCCTTCCTAAGTCCAATATTCTATCTGTTCCATTCAAAGGAAAGTATTACTAGCATTAAGATCATAATTTTCTTCATTCTTTTTCTCTTATTCCAGAAACATCTCTTCAGATGTTGGAACTTCTGATGTAGGATTAATCCTATATGATGCTATATTTTTTCTCTTATTTTCATTTTTATCTTTTTTGTTTTAATTTTGGGGTCAACTCTTTTTATCTTCCAACCCATTAGTTTAATTCACAGGAGTTCTTTTGTGTTCCCTTTCACAATATGCAGTACACAAGTCTCTTTCAAGATGCTAGGGTCTCAGACACCTGCTCTCTAAATTATCTCTTTTTTCTTGGACCTTGGTTTTTCTGGATATTTACCTTGGTCATTCTTATTGTAAATTTTTTAAGCTATCTGGTCATCCCTGGTCATCTATACTTTTTTTATTTTGAAAAATAAATTTACTTGGAAAATTTTTGTGTCAGGTAGGACTTGACACTTCTTTCCATGGAGAGTAGGCAAGGAGATCATTATGCAGAAGCCTGTGTTCTGGCCGTGTAATATCTGGTTAATTGTCCCAAGTCTTCTCAGGTCATTCACACAATTTAATAGTTGTTTTTTAACCTACTTTCTGGGGTCCTGCAAGAATGAAGATGAAATCAGTTGCTCGTAAAGCATGCTTTAATTAGGGTCCTTGTTTTCAGAGCTCTGTCTCTCTTCCCACACTCTCCCTATCCATGTTTTTGAGTCCTTTGCTTCTCTTCTTCCAGGCAGATTATCTCCCTCCTCAGCTCTCACCTCCTCTGTGTAAACACTGACACGTCTTATTTCATCCTCCATCACTAGCGACCCCTTTCCATCACCACCGCCATCTAGAAATCTATTAAAACTTCTTCACTAATGATTCTTGCACCAATCTCTTTCCTTTGGGGTTTTTGCTTTTGCTTTTCCCCCATGTTTTACTCCTTATCATTTAAGTGAGATCACAGAAAAGAAAGCAGAGAAAATCATTTGTCTATCATCTTAAATCAGAATTGCTTCCCATGCTTAGACAAAAGATCACATTTTTATTTTGTAGTGTTTCAGAGGAAGGGGATTCTTTTTCTGTTTGTTTTGTTATACTTGCACTTGAAATTTTTGTACTTTCAAAATTTGTTTATTCAAAAATATATATGTAAGACACCATTAAAGATCCTATTCCTTTCACCTATTGTTTACTCAAAGAATAGACCCAACTAGATTCATTCAGAATATGATTAATTCTAGTTTTTCTAGTTCAAGTTGATACTGCTTTACTCATATATTGTTCATGTGATTGTGTCAAGTAGAGATGATATACGCCAAATAGCTTTAACTCAATATCTTGTTATTCAATATAGTCTTTATTCAGTACATAAAGTTTTCTAAATCATTGGTCTGGTTTTTCAGGCTTGAGGAAATCATAAAGTAATTCATTATACAAATATAATGATGCCATCACACTTAGTTTTGTCTTTTGTATTTTTACTAAAGGGGAAAAATGTATTCTATTTAATGCTAGAGACTACTAAATTAGTAGTTATTACTACAGTAATAGTGCAAAATATAATGTTATCAGTCATCATCTTTCTAACTGCAAAGCTTAGTATTCTGCCAATTAAATGATTCTTATATGTAGCGTACATAGAGAAAAAGAGCCAAAATAAGCTCAAAGCTAGAATTAGTTTTGTCCTTGATTTGCTGTGCCTATCTGTTCTTTTCTTTCCAAACACACAGGAAGCAACAGGAACTAACTAGAAATTTATCAGTTCTAAAGATAGGCAGAGGAGGAAAGAAGATATGTGGAACAAATAAGACCCAACAAAGTATGAAATAAGAGAAAGAAAAAAGATGGTACACATGAGCAGGAAAGAGGATTTCTTTGTCTGGACCAAAGCTCAACATTTTAGGCAGCCATATTGCCTTTCATAATGTGTATAGAACTCACTTTTCAATTTTGCTGTTTAAAAGTCTCCCAGAAATGCCTGGGTTTCTGTGGGGTTTGGGTTTTGGCATTTATAAAGTTCAAGCTATTATCCACAATAAGGTGGCAAAAAATATTACTTTTTCATGAAAGTCATTAATTTTTCATTTTGTATTGCACTTATTTATTTTTCACTGCATATAACTTTGGGGTCTGAAGAGCTTGAATTTGGGAAGTTACTTGCATATTCATGGGTGTCCTATCAAACCCTGTTGTCTGTATAAGGCATTTCTCCTTCAAATTTCCACCTCTGTCAGGTAAACTGCAATTGGGCTTTTTGTTGCTATTTTCTATAAGGGTATCTTTCTCAGAAGTTGCTCATTTACCAATACAAGTTGGTAGAGTCCTTTCTGGCTGGTATAAGTTATCCACAGTCACAAAGTGTTGGGGCTAGGAGAAGCAGGGGTGGTTGGTGATCAGGTAAACAGGTCCATGGGCAATTTGTTTAATTTTTCTAACCTTTGTTACTTAGAAGAAGCAGGTGCTAAATTGGTATAATAGTAATGATGTCCCTCATTTTTTTCTTTCCAGATCGTACATATCATTTCCTACTTTGACATTTCATACTTTGGATTTAGAGCATTGATAAAGCACCTCGCCTTGGTTCAAAATATGGTCAAATGCACAGCACCTAACATGAATGACCATTCATTCAGAATATGTGATATCAATCCTATGGATATGCTGCGTTTTAAGATCTTTTTCTTTGCTCTTGGTGTAGGCGTGTTGGAATCATTGACCGTGTTCACCCGACATGTTTATGTTTCTCTCATTTCAGCATGTGGCAAACTGATGAAAATCACAGGCCCCATTACAGTCAAGACATCTGGAACCCGATTCGGCGCCTGGATGACAGATCCTTTAGCGTCTGAAAAAAATAACAGAGTATGTCACTCCCACAAACACCTTTGCTTAGAATTGTGTTTTATTTAATTTTTTCCTTCTATTGGACTATTTATTTTCTTCAGGGATATTAGTTTCAACTTGAAAAGTGTTAACACTCTTTGCAAATGTTCCTGTTTGATAATATTAACATATCTAAAGATATATGGCAAATCTGTTTTAGTAAAATGTTCTATCCAATGATTCACCAGTAGAATGAGCCTAATTTTTTTTTATTGGTTTTAGTCTTGTTTCATGTTTGGAAAGGCCTAGTTACAAATGTACAAAATTCCCTGTGTATTCTTTATAAACCCTGTTCTTTAGTATGAAAAAAATAGTATGAAATAAGTGAAAAAACTCAAGGACTTGCTAATTTGCTAAATTAGCTTAACTATTCCTGGAGCCTGAAGGTAATTTTAAAAGAAATAGCACTGAAACTTTGGGGGGGGGGCATTTTCATAAACTGGCAATGCCTACATTATGCAAATCAATATCCTGGAAACTTGCCATAGCTCTATTTATGTTCTGTTACAGAACTCACTATAAATTAAGCTTCTCAAGGGCTTTATCCAAATGAGATTAGTTATTAAGTTTGTAAAATGGTTTCATTAAAAGATAGTTGTACCTATAAGCTCATCGAATAAACAAGGGTTACCAGATGATTCTGTGATATCCACTAAGGAGAAATAAGGCCAGGCTCGGTGGCTCAGCCTGTAATCCCACACTTTGGGAGGCTGAGGTGAGTGTATTGCCTGAGCCCGCCTGGGCAACTTGGTGAGACCTCATCTCTACAATAAATCAAAAAATTAGCCGGGTGTGGTAGCGCACACCTGTAATTCCAGCTACTCTGAAGGCTGAGGCGGGAGGATCGCTGGAGCCCAGCAGGTCGAGGCTGTAGTGGCCAGGAGCTGGAGTTGGAGCCTCACTCCAGTCTGGGCGACAGAGTGAGACTCCAACTCAAAAAAAAGAAAAAAAGAGAAATAAGTTAAATTTGAAAAATTAGACCATATACTTTTTTCAGCAGAAGGGATGGAATACGAGGGGGGACTACCAAAAAATACCCCAAAATTTGTTTATAGAAAAGTATGTATTTACTCTTACATATTTAAACTTCAGTCACCTTCAGAGTACTGGCTTTTGATGCACTGCACCTATTGAGACACTTTTTCCACTGCTCAGAAGTTTTTGAGCTCATCATTTTTTATGCCTTTTAGTGCTTCTGCCAATTTTTGTTTCACCTCTTCCACATTGGCAAAACATTTCCCTTTGAGGTCTTTTTTCATCTGAGGTAACAAGAGCAAAAAAAAAAAAAAAATGTTGCTCAGGGAGAGATTAGATGAATAGGAAGGGTGAAACAAGGCAGTCATGCCACTTCTGGTCTAAAACTGCTGAACACTCAGCATGTTGTGGGCAAGTGCACTCGTAAATCACCCATTATTAAATGGGCAAACATGTTGAAAGAATCTTTAAAAAAAAAATCTCTGAAGCCAAATGTAGCTCTCACAACAACCCTTGCTGGTATACTGATGTCAATGGGTTCCTAGAACACTTGCATAGTGGGGGAAACCTGTACTACAAGGGACTTACCCTCCCCAAAATAATTTTGTCTTTTTGGGTGCCCCCTCTTGTAAATATAATTTGCTGAAGCTTTATTTTTTGCAGTTATCAATGATTACATTGATCTATCAGGTGATGTGATTTGCATTGACATATATTTGGTCCACTCAATGAAAGACACCAAATGATCAAAAACAAAAAACTAAGAAAGATAAAGCAAATTAATGTCAAAGTAACAAATTCAATTATTTCTTTTCCACACAGCCTATACCAGTATGTTTACAAAAGCTTGAAAGACTATCACATTGCAGCAGGTCAGCCATAAGATAACATGGCTTCCAGAGCTTGAAAATTGTAATGTATATGGAAGGTGCCAAAAAGATATATACACATTTTAAGAAAGGACAAAACTATGTTAAAATTATAATATTCAATACACACTGATAACAAATGATGAATACAAGTCCTGTTTGACTTCTGCAATTGTAAGAGGTGCTCAAAGTGGTTACCGTCGGCATCCAGACACTTCTGATTATGGCAAACTAAAAATAATACATAGATAACATCTCTTAAAATTTGTATGCATTTTTTGGCACCCCAGTAAGTATATGTGCTGACTCTCACTATCTTTATTTTGGAATTCTCAGGAAAATGTACAGAATTTAGTCACTCCTGTCTTTTTTCCTTCTTCTCAGGTCTGGTACATGGACAGTTATACTAACAATAAAATTGTCCGTGAGTACAAATCAATTGCAGACTTTGTCAGTGGGTCTGAATCAAGGACATACAATCTCCCTTTCAAGTGGGCAGGAACTAACCATGTCGTCTACAACGGCTCACTCTATTTTAACAAATACCAGAGTAATATCATTATCAAATACAGCTTTGATTTGGGAAGAGTGCTTGCACAGCGAAGCCTGGAGTATGCTGGTTTTCACAACGTGTACCCCTACACCTGGGGTGGCTTCTCTGACATTGACCTAATGGCTGATGAAATCGGGCTATGGGCTGTGTATGCAACTAACCAGAATGCCGGCAATATCGTCATCAGCCAACTTAACCAAGACACCTTGGAGGTGATGAAGAGCTGGGGCACGGGCTACCCCAAGCGAAGTGCGGGGGAGTCTTTCATGATCTGTGGGACACTGTATGTTACCAACTCCCACTTAACTGGAGCCAAGGTGTATTATTCCTACTCCACCAAAACCTCCACATATGAATACACAGACATTCCCTTCCATAACCAGTACTTTCACATATCCATGCTTGACTACAATTCAAGAGATAGAGCTCTTTATGCCTGGAACAATGGCCACCAGGTCCTGTTCAATGTCACCCTTTTCCACATCATTAAGACGGAGGATGACACATAGGCAAATGTGATGTGTATTCATTGTCTAAGCGGTGTCATTTGTGATAAACTCTATAGGACCCCTTCTGGTTTTTTCTTTATTATTACTTGTCATCATTTCTCCAAAGCAAGCACTTTTTAAATTGTAAAGCTGGTGTTTCAAAAAACAGGTGAGCCTGTCTAAGTTAACGTGTTGGAAACACATCTTAACTCCTAAATTTACAAGGCCTATCATGTCCTTGTCGTGAAAAGCACTAAAGAAGAGTTTAAGTGACTAAAGTCATAGTTTTGCAAAAGATTAATGATCTGCCTTATATTAGAGTCAGAGACTAATGGTGGCTTAAATGCATGAATGTCTTTTTTTTTAACTCTGTCATTTTTTACTGTCTTTTGCTCCACATCAGGAAATATTTTGGTAGGAATTAGAAGATGAAGAAAAAAAGCATTTTATTCCCATTTATTTCTTTAAAAATATTTAAGGATTTCATTTATATGGAAAAATAATATTAATTGTTTTGCTATTAACACAATTCTCTGATGCGGTGCTGTACAGTCATTTTTAAATCTCTTGCTAACATTTTATTGGCAATATGTATTTCTACCATTGTAACCACCATTGTGCAATTGTATCTCTTCACTTCTGTGAAAGTATGTAATATTTTTTATAAAATACACTGAAATTTAATCTCAGTAATTATTTGAGTTACTTTTCGAGTGTGACCAAGAAGGATCTTCTTGGCTGACCCCTTTGTATAGGCATTATAAACTAAAAAAAAAATCAAGCCAGATACCTTACATAGAGATTTCATCTTACCCAAAGTTTTTTGGATCAAATACATTGAATGCAAAAACTGATTCAGTACACCTGACTTACTCTATTCAAGAATGAAGCCCCTATAGTGGCCCACAAAAGATTCAGCTGAATCACAAAAACTGGATTTGAGTTAACTCTACTCATTTATTTCCACTAAACAAACTGTGTTCTTCATAATTAAATATATTAGTGTTTTAATTTATATTTCACATACAACTTGCAATAGTGTAATCTGTTGTATCAGAACTCTAAAAGTCTGTGAAACAAATATGAAAACTCTTAAGAAGTAAAATTTCTGTAATATCTTCTAGATTTCAATTGTAGGCCCTGGAGAGTTTTGAGCAAAATTTTGCAAGAGAAAATGATGGGGAGACTTGGGAATTGACTGGGGGATTTGAGATGTGTGAATAACCAACTCAGAAAACAAGATGGAAAGAGAAGTCCTGGCTACCCGGATTCAATGCATGTGCAGAACTAGTGTAATCAAAAAGGAAAAGTTTTAATAATATTGATGTTAATAACTCCACAAAACATATGATTAAACTATATATCAAACATGTCAATGAGTTCAAATGTACTTTCCATATATTAAAAACATTTTCCTAAAGCAGCTTTATGGAAACTAATAGGGTTGGCTTTATAATTTAAGAAGCAAATTTCATGGTAAATGATATATAACTTATTGCTGTAAATGTTTAGTTTCACACATACACAGTACTACAATTTTCTTTGAAAGATAAAACTATAATAATTCTGATACAGCATTGTATAAAGAAATTCTAATATTTAAGGGTAATTCATTTCTAATATAAGTAAAATATCATCCTCAAATACCACACTGTGAAAGTTGTAGGATTAAACACCGATCTTGAAAATATTAAGATTTAACAAAGTTGTTTTTGTTTGTTTGCTTCTTTGTTTGTTTTTGCTTACAAAAAGTTAGCATGATTTAATGACCACTCTGGTTTCTTTTGCAATGTTTTCTTCTCTTTAAAATGTTTATCACAAGTTCTTCTCTACTATTGAGAGCAGGGAAACTTAGGAGATTTGTCTGGCATTGTACACACACCACAAAGAGAATCAATAAATATTTCATATGTCAAGAGTTTGTATAAGGAAAAGTCACATCAGTTTCAGAAATGAATTAATTTTTAAGTAGATGGCCTCTGCTAGATATCTATATTCTTTTACTGATATTATATAGTTTCACATACATTCAAAATTTGGATGATCACAGTGTATTGTGAGGTGTGCAGCTTGTAAAGCACTTTATTGTTTCCTATGTAAGATTTCATCACCGTATCCAATTTACAGTGAATATGCTGCTAGAGCAAGCACAGATTTTATTATTGTCACTACAAGTGGAGATAAAATGTGATTTGCATTAAACATCTACAGTTTAAAAGCATTTTTCTTAATAGATTATTATCAGTTTTGTGCCTGAAATAAATAAAAACTTACTCTAATCACTGTTTTCTTTTTTAAAAAATCTCCAACAAATAAATTTTACAAGGGAAATAATGAATATCCTTAAGTCATCCACACAATCCAAGACGTAAAGAAATCCAGGCTCAGAAAGTCTTAAATCTAAGTGAACTATGTAACTGGTATTTTCTGAATTAACCAGGTCATTCATAAACTTCCATGTCACTCAAATAATAATATGTTCCTAGCCTGATTGTGTGTGTGTGTTATTTGTATTTGTGGCACTTGAATCACAATGCTTATTACTTGCACCTGAATTTATATCTACGAGTTCAGAAAAAGGTAGTATTTCAGTGCATTATCAGTATGTGGAGATAAAAGAGGAAATAGCACCAGATGCACTATATGCATAGAAAGATGATTAGTTAAAATTCATCACAAACTCAGAATCTCTGATCTCTATCACCAAACTTATAGAGTCATTTCATCTTTATAATAGGTAGCATTCTCTCTGACAAAATCTTAGCTTCAGAAAATAATTTTAACTTCTCATTGATGCTTACTTCAATAAGAAACAGGTTTTTGTATCTAAAAATCACTACCAAACTTACAAGTACTAATTTTTCAACCAGAAGGATTATTTTTTAAATGTGACCATATAAAGTTATGCATACATTCACTTCAAAACAAAACCAGTTAATTCCCTACTAAGGCAAGTTTTACATATAATAATCCTTCAGCATTACACTCCTTACATAATAAATTGACTATTTAAAAAACAAGAACACCTTAGTTGGTCAGACTAGCCCTTGTAGCGTTTCTAAAAGCCAAGCCTTTTCAAAACAAGACACTCCTGAAAACAGAATTTTAAAATGTCATCTGGCTGACTTGATGAGTAGGTATGATCATATTCTTTTTATTATTTTATTTTTTTCTGAGTCAGGGTCTCACTCTGTCACCCAAGCTGAGTGCAGTGACACAATTATGGCTCAGGCAATCCTTCCGCTTCAGCCTCTCAACTAACTGGGAGTATAAGCGCCTACCACCACACCCAGCTAATTTCCTGATTTATATATTTTTTTATTTTTTATTTTTTGTAGAGATGAGATCTCGCTGTGTTGTCCAGGCTGGCCTCAACCTCTTGGGCCCAAGCAATCTTCTCACAGCTGTCTCCCAAAATACAGGCTCACAGGAGGGAGTCACCACACTCAGCTGATCATATTCTTGATCATACCTCATGTGATGTTTCCCATTATGATAGACATTTAAGTAGACATTCAGAGACAAAGTGTACTTCACTTTTTCCATCATCACCTAGCAAGTAGACAATGAGAAGAGCTACCACAAATTAGTCTACCTGGTACTATAGGCAGGAGCATGAATTAAAATGTGGGTGCTGTAAGATGATACAAAACTTGACTGCTTATAGCTATAAACAGTTATTTCTAGAAAGGCACAGAGCCACTGCTTGCTCTGAATATCATTCAGTTCAGCAAGCAGTATTCAGACTGAAATCAATATTATAGAATTGTTTCTGTTTCTAAAAATTAACTGAACTCAGCATAAAACTGTATAATTTGTCATGGTCAGTGACCTCAGAGAAAGTCTAGGGTTTAATAAAGTCTGCTATTTTGAATTGTTGATATTGTACTAGAAAGAAATACAATGAAAGCATTAGCTTAAGAAAAAACAACTTCTCTAAAATCTTTTTATTATTTATCTAGGAAATTATGAACTCAATTCTTGAAAATTTATTGAATAGAGAATAGAAAACTATTTGCTCTACTGTTTAGGCAATCAGGAAAAAAAATGCTTCCTCAAAATGACTTTACCATAGTGATTTATCTGATGTACATCTTGAAACTATGATGTGCAGTTTTTCCTTCAGTTGACCTATTTTATCAAGCTTAGAATAATTTTAATCCTGCTTGGAGTCTGCCTGGTCTCCAAAATGTCAGACTGGTTGGCATAAAACGTATTCCCTTTGAAACTCAATTCATCAAGTGCCAAATACGTTTTACAAATATAAATTCTAATTACACATGACTTAAAAATGATGTAAAGAAAGGGGACATTAAGTTACACTTTGTCAAGAATAGATGATAACTTTTACATCTATGGTTATCTTAAAATAAATAAATATAGTTATTCCCAGTTAGAGATATGAAGCAATATGGTCAACATGGAAGAGTGCTCAGGAATATTTTAGTGTCTTGAGAAGTTTGCTGGTAAATCGTACAAATATATGCAGTTCAGTACCCTAAGTTACCCCCTAACAGAGCTATATTATGTCTGAAAGAACTGGCACCTGTTTGCTTTTTATTTTTTTTGTTTTTTAATGATGAAAATATTGCCATGATGTGTAATTCCCTGCCACATTTCAGCTTGGAAATATTCGCATATATGCAGATATTCCCATAAAATAAATGTAGTATGGCAGAAGTCTTGAAAATGGAGCAAGAGAACTGAATGAAACACTGGCCATTCTAGCAGATCTAGCCAGTTGCTCATCTGTATCAATCCTGAATTGACATGAATTCTTGTACATTACCAGTGAGTCATTTACACATGTTACAATTAGATAATACTGCATTATTTATTCCCAGATGACATTTTAGATGCCAGGGACATAGCTGTCAACAGATAAGTAAGGTCTTCATGTGCTTATAGTCTAATGGGCACTGACTGCAACAACAACAAAATTAATGAAAAATAAGTTCAATTGTATGAATTTCTGTAAAGGAAATTTAAGAAAACAATATGATAAGGGATGACTGGGTGTTTGCTAGGGGTGAGGTGAGGTAAGAAATGATGTTTAGAGGGGACACTAGAAGGAGGGCTCCCAAAGAGGCAGTCTGCCATGTAAATTCATTCAAAAAATGAAATGTCACCACTTGATCCATATTAAAAAATTGACCTCTGTTTTTAGAAATCCATGGACCACATATTTCTAATATTTTTCTACTGCAGTTTTTTGTTTGTTTGTTTGTTTTTAACTTGGAGTTCAAGAATACATTTCTGGGAATGCCTGAACTCTCTGAAAATATATGCCCACTTTGGTGAGTATATGTGGTTGTGTATTTTTCCCTGGTAGATTTCCAGTTTTCATCGATTCTCAAAGTAAGCCATGACCCAAAACACCACAACTATGTCTACTTAATCTTATGTAATCCCCAAAATATTCAGTATCTTTATGGCAAGCACTGAATGTCTGTCATCTTTCTTGCAATCCTTAAGAACTTCAGCTTGCTTCAGGGAGGACAGAGATTGACATTCTAGTATTATAAGAACTTTTATATATATATATATTTATATCTATATATAGATATAGATATATGTCTCCCCCCCCCGCCCCCGCGGAACTTTAGGTTGTTTCCTCTAAAACCTCTGAAGAGGTTTTTGTAAGAAAGTATATTTGCCGCCAGGCACGGTGGCTCAAGCCTGTAGTCCCAGCAGTTTGGGAGGCGGAGGCAAGAGGATTGCCTGAGCCCAAGGATTCAAGACTAGCCTGGGCAACTTGGTGAGACCTTGTCTCCACAATAAATCAAAAAAATTAGCCAGGCATGGCAGTACATGCCTGTGATTTTGGCTAATTGGGGGGCTGAGGTGGAAGGATCGCCTGAACCCAGCAAGCAGATAGAGGCTGCGGTGGCCATGAGTGTGCCACTGCACTCTAGCCTGGGCGACAGAGTGAGACTCCTACTCCAAAAAAAAAAATGAAAATAAAGATAATAAATTTAAAAAGTATATTTGGACTGAATCCTTTTGGGCACATTCTTACCAGAGTCAGTGACCCAAGAGTCTCTGTTACAAGGCCTGTCCTTCATCTGAATCTGCAGGTCTATATCTCCCTTCGTAATTCACTTTCAAGATTGATCTTGACCTTTCTTTCATTGTGTTTCTATTCCCCTTTCAGAATTCATCTAAAATATCATCTTATTTCTGAAGCAAATAGAAAAAAAAAATCATTATTTAGTGTCCCTGTTGTATTGATTGGTATTGTCAAAATTATCACATGACACTGCAATGATTTGTTTTCTTTAAGTCCATGTGGACTCCTCAAGAGGGGGGGGTCAGTGAGTTTTTTTTCTTTACATCCCAGTCCCTAGCACAGTGTCCAACACAGAATAATACCACAGTAAATGGTAATAACCCAAGAAGTGTAAGATCGAGTGATCAAGTAACACTTTTACTATATCTAAAAACATTGAAAATCTTTGTTCCCTTCCAGAAATGTCATAAGAAATTAACTTTTCCAAATTTATTTTATTGGAAATAAGTTTTTATAACTTATGCAAGTAAAATTCTAATATAGGAAGTGTCAAGAGGGTAAAACTAAAATTAATTTGTTCTCTTGGGTGAGTTGCCCCTCCCTGATACAGCAAATTTTATTCCAAGACAATGTAGCTTTAAAAAAACTCCCATAATTATTTGCATTATTTTGCTCTTTAACCGTATTTTTTTTTTTTTTTTTTTTGAGTTGGAGTCTCACTCGGTCGCCCAGACTGGAGTACAGCGGCCGCTCCTGGCCACCGCAGCCTCGCCTGCTGGGCTCCGGCAATCCTTCCGCCTCAGCCTTCCGAGTAGCCGGAATTACAGGCATGCGCTACGACGCCTGGCTGATTTTTTGATTTATTGTAGAGATGAGGTCTCGCTGCCCAGGTGGGTCTCGAACCCGCGGGCTCAGGCAATCCACTCACCTCAGCCTCCCAAAGGCACAGCATTGCAGACTGAGCCACCGAGCCCGGCTTAACCGTTATTTTTAAAAGGAAAAATTATTTTAACTTTTCACCCATTTAACTTTTGGTTCCTCATTTTGCTTTTTTCCCTTCTGTAAGAAAAAGCTTTTCTTAGAAATATACTTTGTCTTTGCCAGGACAGGGTTTGTGAAAGGTGAAGAAGTTACCCCCTGCTTCTGCAGCTTTGTTTTCAAAAGTCTACCAAAAAAGACTAATATTCATTAATCTGTCAGTGATTCTAAGTAAATGCCCATTTACTTCTAAGTAAAAGTGCCTTTTAAATAGCATCAGTTCTTCATAAAGTGCAAGCAACTCTTCCAGAAAACAGAATATTTGTTCTGAAATTAGGTCTAATGATACATCTTTCTGCAAGTTTCTTGTTTTCTATAAATCAAAGCATTGGGCGTTATCAGTAGTTAACAAAAACTGCCCTTTCAAGCTTAAGTTTTTTATAGGAATCCCTCAGAGTTTACAACAAAGAGATAGACTAAC